ATTAAATATTTATTTTTGTAATAAAATATGTGATGTGTTGGATATTTTTATTATGATTTTTATCATTTTATAAATTTATTACATCTAAACACATAAAAACTTTATATATTTATATATTTTCATTATTTATTTTAGCATTATGAATTTCCCATTAAAAATTTATCAATGTGGTATATTAATGTTAATAATATAATAAAAATCTAAAAAAGACACTAGGAGACCAACCCAGATATGTTACATGTTGATCGCGATGAGCAAAATTTTGTTTATTTATTTGTGATGTGTTAAAAAAAGGAAAAGATCAAAAGATTATATTAAAAAAAGTTGAAAAAATTAAAAAAAAAAGAAAATTATAAAAATTTCCATGATCCTAGTCAAGTATAAATTTACAAACTTATATTAAAATTTTAATTAAAAAAAGAAGATGGCGACTTTGGGAAAATAAAAATAAGAAAGGATTTTTATGGGGGGTGGGGGAGATTAGAAGGGTCCCACAGCATATCTTTGTGACAACACCCCCATTAATTACCAACTTGATGAGTTATAATTTCTCCTTGATTTTAGCTTCCATACAGAAAGGCTCCACCGCTAGATTTTCCGGTCTGAAAAAATCACAACCACACAAAAATAAAGAATTAAAAAATAAAAAATGAAAAAGTGGAGTTGATGAGTGGGACCCACAAATCAATTATGAAAAGAGCACCTATGAGTGGGGCCCAGGAAGGAAGAGCAACCGAACATGGAGCAAAATGAAGAGGGACAAAGGAGGCACGTGAATACGCGTCACGTTGTCAAAAAACCGCGTGAACCGCCCTCTCCCAAGCGCGACGACAACGATAACTGTTTTTCAAAATGCACCACTTTCGTTTTTTTTTTTATTTTATATGTTTTCCTTCATAAATAATTTATTTATTTCTGAATTAAATATTGTGTTTTTTTTCAATATTTAATTTATTTATTTTTATTTTTTTTTTACTGAAATTAAATTTTTTTTTAATAAAAAATATAGTCTCCACATTATTAGAATTTTTTTAAAAAATATTTTTATTTCGACTATGTACGAAAAACACTAGTCTAATTTTTATCAAAATTTTATATAATTAAAGCATAAAATATTTTCATATTTTATTTTATTTCTTTTAAATTTTAATATATTTAATTATAAATTTTAAAAATTAACCCCCCCAAAAAACCCCACGTGGGTTTAATTATTATTAAAAATCAAGATTTAAGTTACACTTCAAAACTCCATTTTCTCCTATTTTTTTCAATCATACTTGATAGATAGATAACGTGAAAATAATAAATTAACACACACACACACATATATATATATTTGTTACTTCTGTTAAGTTGATTTTTTAATGTCTATTTGTTAAGCAAGTGGTTATGGTGATGTGTTATTTTACAGTAAAAATAACAAGAAAAATATGGACGAAATTATGACATCGAATAATTTACATGAAATTGTGATTTAAAAATAAACTCGTCAGTTCGCATTTTAGATCTTGTTATTAACCAAAGAACCCGCGAAACGTGCATTCTACCGTTAATTGTACCCGCCAAAGAAAAAATACGTAATTTACTTAACTAGCACTTAGGATCCCAAGACGAAGACGAGTTTTTTTTATTCCTGTTGATGTTTACTTTCTCTCTTTTCTTTTTTCCGGAGAAAAAATTAACATTTTCCCGAGATACTAGAGGGTTCTCCGACTACTACCCTTGTCTTCTTTGGGTCTGAGCATGATATTCAAGACTTCTGTGCTTATTTTAGAAGTTTTGGGGACTACCCTTTTTGTCTAAAGGATTTTTTAGCTTTAGTAGAGTGAACCCTTTGTTTGTCTCTCGGGAAAGCTAACATTTTCCGGGAAAACAGAGGGTGATTGGGTTACCCTTTTAGGCTTTAAGCTGGTGAGGGATGGAGAAGCGGATGGTGGTACCGGAAGGAGGGGAGAAAGGCGGAGTTGTTGGTGTTTCGAGCTCATCCAAAGGCGGAGATACGGGTATGGTTAGGGAATTGATGGATGTAATTATGACCGTTGGATCGTATTCTGGGTACAGGAGGACTCAGAGAAAGGAATGCTTGAACTTGGTGAGGAGATTGAAGTTTTTGATGCCTCTTTTGGAAGAGATAAGGGAGCTTGATGCGTCAGTTTTAAGAGTTTCTTGTAATGGGTTGACTAATCTGAGGAAAGCATTTTTTGCAGCCAGGAAATTGTTGAAACACTGTAATGATGGAAGCAAAATTTACTTGGTAATTTCCTCTACTTGTCTCTCTCTTTTTTTTTTATTATTATTTTTTTTTTATAATTCCTTGATTCTTAAGTGTCTTTAACAGCTGGGATTTGTGATTTAATGGAGTGTAATCTTTCTGTGTCGTTTTGGTTTGGCGGGTCTGAATTAGGCATTGGAGAGTGAAGCAGTGACAGGAAGATTTCATGGTGTTTATGATAAATTGAATCAAGCTCTGGATGATTTGTCTTATAATGAACTAGGGATCTCAGTTGAAGTGAAAGAGCAAGTAATTTTCCTTTACTTCTCCTTTTCTTTTTTACTTGTTTTCATATCGCTGAAGTTTCTTTCTGCACAGATCTAATGAATATAATTAAGAAGAAAAAGTCATTCATCATCCCCAAGAAAGCATTATTATATGCATTAAGAAATAGCGTAAGTAAAGTCAGCATAAATCTATTGCATGATTATGGTCTGCTATTATATAGTATTTTACTGCACACAGATCATGTGATGATTTTAGACTCAAGGAAAGAACCGACAGCTTTGTTGGGATCTCATAGCAATTACCATTAAATGTGATATGTAATTGTCAACTTAAACTGACATCGTGTTCGCACAGCAATTACTGTAGGATTTCTTTTTGAAATATGAAAGTGTTGGTTTTATTGAGATTATTTTCTTTTAGGAGCACACCTTAAATAATTCTTTGAGTAATGTTGAAGTCAGTTTTGTTGCTACCTTATATTTAGTTATTGTTTGTGCCTGTCGGCTATTATACACATTCTGCATGAGTGCAAGAGGTATTAGAGTATGGTAGTCTTACAGCGTTTGGATACAAGGATATGTACTGATTTAAGGACGATATGTAATGATGCATATCTCTATTGAGTCACTCTACTTCTCACTATAGTTTTTGGGTCTAATTTGACAAAAATGAAGTTCAAACTGGAAAATAAAAGTAAAGAAATATTCACCTTTTAATCATCAACCAAGTGTTCAATGATTTTTGTTGCAAAAAATGCATATGTTGACAAGGACTTGACTTATGTTTTATGAATGATTTGCATTTTATGACAGGAAATGGGTAGTGGCTTCTAGTTGTTTGTAGGACAAACACTTTTAACTTTCTCATTTAGTTAAAGAATCCTTTTTGATTTCTCCTAGAAATGAAAGTTTGTAGCTCCTCATCTTTAGACTATTAGAATGTGCTTATTTCACGGATTGGCTTCAGGTAGAGCTAATGCGGATGCAACTTAAAAGAGCTAGGAGGAGGGCAGATACGCAGGATATGGAGCTAGCAATGGATATTATGGTTGTACTTTCAAAGAAGGATGACAGGAATG